ATCTTAAGTCTGAGTGTTGGAGCTGAAGTGAGTCATAAGCAGAAGACGTTGTATGAAGAAAGAGGTGCAAAGGCCTGCAGGCATTGCTGGTGCCCTCAGCACTTTAGAGTTTGGAGACTGGTTAAGAATGGAGAATTGTCTTAATGTGGGCTCTGGGGTTATTTATTTGCTCTAAAACTAAAGAGTCTCCCCTTTTATTAGCATACATTAATTGTACAAAGTAGTTTCATTGTGATATTTCCACAGATGTGTACAATGTACTTTAATCTTGAGAAAGAGTCTATGTACATTTATTGGCTTGGAATTCATAATCCTAATGCCTCTACCTCCAAGTACTGGAATTAGATTGAACCATCATGCCTAAGTTCTCAAAAATAGAGATTGAGCCAGGCACTGGTGGCTCACACCTGTAATCCTAGCTACTCAGGAGGCTGAGATCTGAGGATCGAGGTTCAAAGCCAGCCCGGGCAGGAAAATCCATGAGACTCTTATCTCCAATTACCCACCAGAAAACCGGAAGTGGCGCTGTGGCTCAAGTGATAGAGTGCTAACTTTGACCTGAAGAACTGAGAGTCAGTGCCCAGGCCCTGAATTCAAGCCCTAGGCCTGGTGCAAAAAAATATAAAAAAATCAGTCTCCTGAGTAGCCAGAATTGCACTAGTGCTGGGCTTATAAATTCTATTTTTTATTACAAGTACCAGGACTTGAACTCAGGGGCTCTCCAGGTCTCTAGCTGTTTTTCCTGCGCATCATGTTTGCTCTGCTACTGGAACCAGGCCCCCCAGTCCAGCTTTTTTTTTTATTGTACTGCTACTGCAGGTTAGTCACTTACCTTTTTTGCTTAAGGATAGTGCTCTACCACTTGAGCTACAGCTCTACTTCCAGCTTTCTGGTGGTTAATTGGAGTCTCGTGGACTAAATGGAAGAGCTAGAAATAAAAACCTTTGAGAAGAAATCAGTGGTAAATCTTTGCATTCTTGGAGTAGGCAAAGTGTTCTGACATAAGACAGTAAAGCATGATTCATAAAGCAGAGAATTCATAAAATGAATTTATCAAAATTAAAAACTTTTGATGTTCAAACAGACCCATGATAAAATGAAAAGATGAACTATGGGCTGTCAGAGAAGATCTGCAAATGATGTCAGGTGCCAGTGGCCCACTCCTGTGATCCTTACTACTCAGGAGGCTGAGATCTGAGGATCATGGTTTGAAGCCAGCTCGGACAGGAAAGTCTGTGCGACTCATCCCCAATAAACTACTCAGAAAAAGCCAAAAGTGGTTCTGTGGCTCAAGTGATAGAGCACTAACCTTGAGCACAAAGAGGCTCAGGGACAGCACCCAGGCCCTGGGTTCAAGCCCCAGGACCAAAAAAAGAAATTATTTGCAAATAGTATCTGATAAAGTACCTTTCAAATTTTTTGTTATTATAAAGGTGATGTACAGAGTAGTTAGTTCTTGTACCCAAAATACATGAGAACTCTTGTAAGTCCATAAAAAGTAAACAAGAGCTAAGGGTATAGCTCAGTGGTTGACTGTGCTCACCATAGGAGAGATTCTGCTTTCAACTCCTAGCACCAGAAAAAAAAATAAATATTAAATGGTTTTAAAAGTTTGATTTTGTTGCTGGGCACTGGTGGCTCATGCCTGTAATCCTAGCTACTCAGGAGGCTGAGATCTGAGGATCACAGTTCAAAGCCAGCCCAGGCAGGAAAGTCCATGAAACTCTTATCTCCAATAAACCACCAGAAAACTGGAAGTGGCCCTGTAGCTCAGGTGACAGGGTGCTAGCCTTGAGCTGAAGAGCTGAGGGACAGCGCTCAGGCCCAGAGTTCAAGCCTCATGACAGACTAAATAAATAAATAAAAGTTTGATTGTGTGTGTGTATGTGTGTGTGTGTGTGTGTGTGTGTGTGTGTACTGGTGTTGGGGCTTGAACTCAGGCTCTATAGCCCTTGGGTTTTTTTTTTTTCAGTGCTGGAGCTCTACCACTTGAGACATACCTCCACTTCCTAAAAGGTCTGAATAGATACTTACCAAAGGAAAGATATAAATGGTAATTAGTTAGTCCATGAAAATATTCTAGGGCTGAAGGGTTAAGTAGTGTTTGCTTAATATACACAAAGCTCTGGGCTCATACCTAGAACCATTAAAAAAAAAAAAGATGATCAACACCATTGATCATTAGGAAAATGCCTTAAAAACACACCTACTAACATGGCTATAATAAGACAGTCAAATGCCAGTAGCTCAAGCCTGTAATCCTAACTACTGAGAAAACTGAGGTCTAGAGGATTTTGGTTTGAGGCCAGCCATTGAAGAAAGTCCTGAAGACTCTTATCTCAAAGATAATCAACAAAAGGGCGGGCTGGAGGCTTGGCTCAAGTGGTAGAGTGTCAGCTGAGCAAGTACAAGTTCCTGAGTTCAATTCTTAGTACCAAAAATGAACACTAGTGGCTCATGCCTAGTACTCAGGAGGCTGAGATCTTTCAATCATCAAAGCCAGCTCACGCAGAAAAGTCTGTAAGATTTTTATCTTGAAGTAACCAGCAAAAAGCTGGAAGTGGAGATATGGTTCAAGTGGTAGAGTGCCATCCTTGAAGGAAAACACCAAGTAACCATGCAGGGTCCTGAGTTCAAGTCCCCAGTATTGGCACACCAAAACATAATAGTATATTCATATTTGGTTCTGAATCTTAACTCTGCTACTTACTAATTGTAGGATCTTTGTTATTTAGATCTTTCTAGGACTCAATTTCCTCACTTGAAAGATTTGCCTTTGGATTGTTGTGAGGATCAAATAAACCTAAAATATCTTTAGTTGGGGGCAATATATACACATTTATTTGAAACAGGTTCTCACTAGGTTTCCCACTTCGGCCGGGCAATGAAATCCTAGAATAAGTGATTCTCCTGCCTCAGTCTCCTGAGTACTAAGATTATAGGCATGCATCAGCCCACCAGGCTCGATGGGTTTTTTTCATTTCTTTTTTGGAAACAGGGTCTTCTTAGGTAGCCCAGACTAGTCTTGAACTCCTGATGCTCCTTCCTCTGTCTCTCAAATTGTTGGAATTACAAGCCTGTGCACCAAGCCTGGGACCATGGGTTTTAATTGTCTGTTCAGAAGATAAAGCCGCCAAATAAACATCTCCACCCAAGACCATTATGCAGTAGTTTTATCATTACTTAACCAATGAATATACTTACTGAAATGTAACTTATTTTAGGTAAATTGCTATCACTGTGTGTATGTTTTTGTGCCTGTGTGTCTTCCAGCTTTTTGGCGGTTAAATGGAGATAAGAGTCTCAGTGGACTTTCCAGCTTAGGCTGGCTTTGAACCTCAATCCTCAGATCTCAGCCTCTTTAGAGGCTAGAATTATAAGGCAGGAGCCACTGGAGCCTTGACATTTGTAATATAAAACATATGCTTATTTTAAATCTACTTAGGTATTCATTTATCTGCACTCAGACAACTAAATTCTTATTTACCTCTCCTTACATTTTTTTTCTGGTTAGAAATAAATAGCTGGTGGCCCAAGCCTGTAATCCCTGAATTTGGGGGCCTGAAGCAGTAGGGTCAAATTAAGAGGACAGCCTAAGCCAGGAAAAGAAAAAGGAAACAAACAGCTGTTTGGAATTTAAAATTGTATAGACATGCAAGGAGAAAAAAAATAAAATTTGCTTTTTCCCCTGGGAATTCTGGGGATTATACACAGGGGTTCTATACCTTGAATTATTTATTTATTTATTTATTTTTGCTGGTACTGGGGCTTGAACGAGGGACCTTGTGCTGTGGATTGGCTTTTTCTTTTGCTCAAGGGTGGCGTTCCTACCACTTAAGGCACACGTCCACTTCTGGCTTTAAATAAATTTCTTTTTGGTAGTTAATTGGAGATAAGAATGTTAAGGGCTGCCAGGCTGGCTTCAAAATCCTTTTTTAAAAAAAATTTTTTGTTTTGTCTTTGGAGCCCAGGTCTCAGTAGGTAACCCACCTCTTTCCATTGCATCCGGCGAAAATCACTTTTTGAGGATATTTTTAATTAGCTTACATTCGTCATACAGAGCACCATTTTATTGTTACCATTCCACATTTACAATTTTTTTTTTAAAAATCCTCTTTTTTAAAACACGACTTGCAAAACAGCTTCACAAAAAACCTTAAAAAATACACTCCCAAACCATTAAAATGCAGATTAGTACTAGTCTCTTAATTTAAAAAAAAATTAAAAAAGTAGTCCTTGCCACTTTAAAAAGCAAGCTAACTTTAGCCGCTCTCACGACACCTACCTTCCAACCTACGCTAACGTCGCACGTCGCTCGGCACGCAGTCTCTAGCGTCATCACGGACTTACTCTTTGGCACTAGAAACCACTCCCTGGGAACAAGGGAGGGATTTTGCTTTTCCCAAGGCCTGCGCCGCTACGCTTTTTTACCAAATCCACACCAGAGGGCGCTCTCCCTAACGCCCGCCGGACACCGCGCGGCTACAAGAGCCGGGCCAGCTCGGTATGCGGACTCCTCTCGACCTGCAGCCCCATCCCCGACGGGAGACGACGCCGAGACGATCCTGACTTATTAAATAATAGGAATGTGTAAAATCTATTTTAACAAGGGACATTTCGTCCTTCTGATCTCCCAGCCTGGTTAAGACTCACAGGCTCAGGGACACTTTCAATGAACCATACAGGAAACGGAAATGACTTAACACTTGCCAGCGCGCCAGTCGCACGGTATTACCCGCCTCGCTGGGGGGGGGGGGTCCTTCTCTGGGGCTGCCCTCAGCATGGCCTGCACAAATATCTAACATGTCTGCAGCGAATAAATCCCAAAAGTGTGTATCCGCTCTTGCTTTAAAAAAAATAATAGCCCGATCGTAGGCCCTCTGCAAATTCAAACAGGAATAAACCCGGTCCATGAAGCGCTTCTGTCCCTAGAATGCCTGTTTCTCGACCCATGGCCTAGTCGACTTTCCCCGCCTCCACTTCCACGCCCTGGCCAAGGGGCCTACGTACTGTCAAGGCGGCACCCACAGCAACTTCCTTCCTCTCTGGGCAAGATGGCGGGTGGCGAGGCCGGAGTGACTCTGGGGCAGCCGCACCTTTCTCGCCAGGATCTCGCCACCTTGGTGAGGTTTGGCTTTGAGGGGATGCTGAGTGAGCTGGGGAGGGAGGATGGACTCTCGTCCCAGGAAGGCCTTGGGACGAAGCAGTAACAGGGCCGTCGGCAGCGTGCAATAGCGTGGGGCACCCCAAAGCCAGGCGCCCGAAGCAGCGCTTACACAGCGGCTGCGCCTGGTCCAGTCCGCGAGCTGGGCGTGAGCATGTGCGATGGTGGGACCTTAAAGCTCCTGAGGGATTCGCCGCAGTCCTGGTTGGTTATTAAAAGTTCCAACCTTCGAAGGTGTGACGATGGAGTCTCTATACTTTATAGACTTGCTAAGGCTCCAGACACCCCGTTAGTGAGTAGAGGTGTCTTGTGTAACGAAGAAGGGCTTATCGAGGTTCCCAGCCATTAGAACCATTTTTATTGACACAGGAAAAGCGCCGAGAAGTAGATGGCAGTTTAACAGTTCGTAACAAAGGTAGTCGGGAAAACTTGTAATTTTTCTCTTGCAAGATGTTTTAAATGCCCTTTTTTTCATTGCAGGATGTTACAAAATTAACACCACTTTCACATGAAGTTATCAGCAGACAAGCCACAATTAATATAGGTAAGATAAGAGTACCACAGACCTGACTTACGTGTAATTTTCAATCTATCTTTTTATGTAACTGCCTGAGCAAGTGTTGAAGGTTATCAGTGATACTGTGTGCCTGTAGTCTGAGCTGCTAGGGAGACTGAGGTAGGAGGATTAAGCTTGATTAAAGTTCTAGACCAGCCTAATCATTAGTGAGTTTGTCTCCAAAAGCAAAAAAAAGATAGCTAGTGAGCTCTTGTGAGCAAACTATCTGCTATATTTGGGGTGGAAAGACAAGTATCACCTATGTCCAATTTACAGACTACATGAGAAAAAAAATATATATGTAAAGTTTAATAGCATGCAGCAGTGTGTAATAATCTGTAGCAGAAGTTTAAGGAAGAGGTGAAAATGCAGCTCTTCTTGCTATACTGGGTTTCAAGGGCAGCGTTTATGAAAGTTTTATTTGAGATATAACCTATGATTAAGGAGGTGTGTGTTTTTGTCTTAATTGGTACCAGAACTTTTGACAAGTTGTGTTAATTGCTGAGTTTCCTACAGACATTCCAGAGACCAAAGGGAACTTTAGATTTGTCAAGTTAAAGTAACTGTTGGTAAATTTTGGACATTTTGAGAGTTTGTACAAACAGAACAAACTAGTTAAAAGTAAGACTCTAAGCATATGAGAAACGTATAAGTCATGTGGTGTCATTTAAAGTCAGCATTACTGTAATCAAATTTAGGTTTTCTTTCCATGAAGTCTTTTTTTTTATGTCTGTCAGGGATTATTACCTATTTATTTCACTCTAGATATACTAAAATGTTTCTTAGCATGTACAATTGTTAGTATTTTTTATTCAATTTAAATGTGGGAAGTCAGAAATGGAGCTGTGGCTCAACTGGCAGTGTTGCTAGCCCTGAGCAAAGAAAGCTCAGAGATAGCACCCAGACCCTGAGTTCAAGCCCCAGGACCAGCACTTTACCAATAAGTTAAATGGGGGCAATCTTGTGATTAAAATAAACAAGTCAGCAGTCACAGGTGACTCATGCCAGTAATCCTAATCCTATCTCCTCAGGAGGCTGAGAGTTGCAGTTCAAAGTCAGCTCAGGCAGAAAAATTCATGGAGTGTCACCTCCAAAAATAACCAGCAAAAAGTAGTACTGAAGGCATTGCTCAAGTGGTAGCACATCAGCTAAGCAAGCAAGTGGAGTGAGCCAGGACCCTGAGTACAAACCCCAGTACCACGAAAAGCAAAAAATACCACTAAGTACCAAGAAAAATAGCTTTTCATATGCTGAGATGGTTGTTTTTTGTGTGTTTTGTTTTGTTTTTGGGTCCAGTCATGGGGCCTGAACTCTGGGCCTGGGCGCTGTCCCTCAGCTCTTCAGCTCAAGGCTAGTGCTCTACCACTTGAGCCATAGCACCACTTCTGGCTTTTTTATTTTCTGCTTATGTGGTGCTGAGGAATCGAACCCAGGGCCTCATGCATGCAAGGCAAACGCTCTACCACTGAGCTACCTTCCCAGCCCTGTGTTTTGTTTTGTTTTGATAGAAACAGATAGTAGTAGTACTGGGGATTGAAACCAGGGCATGATACATGCTAGGTGAGTGCTCTATCACTGAGCTTCATGCTCAGCCCTTTAAAATAAACTTCTATTTTAAGGTAGCGTCTCCTGTTGTCCAGGCTTGTCTCAAAATTGTGATCCTTCTGTTTTGGTCTCCTAGATAGCTGGTATTGGAGGCATGTGCCATCACACTTGATGAATGTGGTTTTTAAATAACATTATCACATAGTAAGTGCTTCAAGAGGGCATTGTGGAACATGCCTAAAGCCTAGCACTCTGGAGACTGAGACAGGAGTATCTCAAGGTCAAAACTGGCCGCAAAGGAAGGAATTGAGGGAAAAATGAAAGAAGGAAGGAAAATCCAGTCCTATAATAGAACAAGTTTTTAGTAAGCAATAATGTGGAAGTCTTTGCTGGTTTTAAATTGATACTTAAGTGAGATACGGTTTTTTTCTATTCTTTACACTATTTGTAAACTATTTGATGCAATTAAATACACATGAGTTAATTTTTTGGTACTTTTTTTATAGGTACAATTGGTCATGTAGCTCATGGGAAGTCCACAGTTGTAAAAGCCATTTCTGGTGTTCACACAGTCAGGTTCAAAAATGAACTAGAAAGAAACATTACAATCAAGCTTGGATATGCTAATGCTAAGGTGAGCTGTCTCCTGTGCAACTTGTAGCTATGTAACTTAGGTTGTGCAGATAACAAATCTAAGCCTTCTTTTTCTCTTCTTATTGAAACTTTTAGATTTATAAACTTGATGACCCAAGTTGTCCTCGGCCAGAATGTTACAAGTCATGTGGAAGTGGTACACCTGATGAGTTTCCTACAGACATTCCAGGGACTAAAGGGAACTTCAAATTAGTCAGGTGATTGGGGGGGGGGGGCTAAAAATAATTTATACTTTATTGTCCTGGCTTTGTACTACTCAAGATATTGAGCATTAATCTTGATTGCAAAATAGTTTTCCTGTTTGGATTTTATTGCCTGAAATTATAATCAAGAAGTCATTTCTTTTAAAATTAAAATACTTATAAGAGGGCTGGGAAGGTGGCTCAGTGGTAGAGTGCTTGCCTTGCATGCATGAGGTCATGGGTTCGATTCCTCAGCCCCCACATAAGCAGAAAAAAAACGGAAGTAGTGCTGTAGCTCAAATGGTAGAACAGTAGTGTTGAGCTGAAGAGCTGAGGGACAGTGCCCAGGCCCAGAGTTCAGGCCCCACAACCAACAACAACAAAAAAAATCAGGCGGCTGACATCTGAGGTTCAGTTTGAATCTAGCCTGGGCAGAAAAGTAGAGACTGTTGTCTCTAATTACTAAGTAATTCTGCCAGGAGCTGGTGGCTCATGCCTGTAATCCTAGCTAATCAGGAGGTTGAGGTCTGAGGCTTGAGATTCAAAGCCAGCCTGGCCCAGAAAGTCTGTGAGACTCTTACCTCCAAGTAACTACCAGAGAACTGGAAATAGAGCCGTGGCTCAAGTGGTAGAGTGCTAGCCTTGAACTGAAGAGCTGAGGGACAGCGCCCAGGCCCAGAGTTCAAGCCCCATGACTGACAAAAAAAAAAAGTCTTAAGTACCATAGCTTTATGAAAATAATGTCCTCACATTTCAAATATACAATTCCAGGTACATTTCAAGGTAGTTGAGGTATTTACTATAAATTGTCTCAAATGACTTCTCATTCTGTTAATTTAGTTTCTTTATATATCATTAGATTGTAGCTTTCAAAAATTCTGAGCATATACTCTACCATTCTGTACCATATGTATTCATAGATTGGATTGTGGGCTTTCTTTTCAGATTTTTATATATAGCTACTTGCATTTGCTTTGTAATCTGTAGTGATTTGATTTTCAACTATCTAATAATAATCATCCTTTTAAAGTCTATAAACACTTGAGTTGTATGACCATTTTCAGAAGTAATTTCCTATCTAATTTAAGAAATTAAAGTTGATTGTTATTTCTCCGTTGTTAGACATGTCTCCTTTGTTGACTGTCCAGGCCATGATATTTTGATGGCCACTATGCTGAACGGTGCAGCAGTGATGGATGCAGCTCTTCTGTTAATAGGTAAAAGCATCAAAATGGTTTTGAAAAATCAGTGTGGAACAAGTGCAAGTGGAGTTTATAAAGGGGAACTAAAGCCTTTTGAGGTTTTATCCATTACCTTAGGGTACAGGAATAAGAACTAAATTGCCATCTAGGATGACATTTCTTCTTGTAAGCTACCACACACAAAACACTGGAGCTGATAGTTTCCGAGAATTCCTAGGACAGTATCCAAAGAACAAAGTTAGTACTACATTTTCTTCATCTAAGGCACATGAGGTGTTTACTTTTGTGTGAAAATAAATGCATATGTGTTGTCAGGGTTTTTCCCCTCTGCGGTCTGCTTATAGTTGTACAATTGTTTGATTTAGATGCAAATCTCATTCTTAATAATGGCTGAAGATATAATTCTTTTGAGCTTACTAGAAGCCTGGGCACTGGTGGCTCACACCTTTAATCTTAGCTACTCCGGAAGCTAAGATCTAAAGATCAAGGTTCTAATCCAACCAAGGCAGAGACTCCATTGATAAAATTAGCAGTAAATGGCCAGAGTGAGCCTCACGCCTGTAATCCTAACTACTCAGGAGGCTGAGTTCTGAGGATTGTGGTTTGAAGCCAGCCAAGGGCAGACTCCGTGAGACTCTTTATCTCCAATAAACTACTCAAAAAAGCTGGAAGTGTCACTGTAGTTCAAGTGGTAGAGTGCCCACCTTGAGCAAAAGAAGCTCAGGGACAGGGCTCAGGCCCAGAGTTCAAGTTGGAGAATCGATGACCAAAAAAAAAAGGCCAGAGTGGAAGCATGATTTAAGTGGTAGAGCAGCAGCCATGCCAGCTGGAGGCCCCTGAGTTCAAACTGGCGCCAATGTGTGTGTGCGCGTGTGCGCGCGCACACAGACAAGAATTCAAGGAGATGTAGGATATATCAGCATCACACCTGGAGAAGGGATGATTGTTAATGTGCTACTTGTTTCTTTGTAACACATTGTTAGCTTCTCAGTTTGGGTTCTTCCATTCAAAAGGGGTATCCTCTGCCCCTCAGGAGCTTGACTGGGCCAGAATATCTCTAAGACTAGACAGAACCAAGGGGCTATCCCTTATGCCTGAAGAAAAGCTCAAGGCAGACAAAGCCAAAATTCCTTCCTTGGCTGCAATTTTCTTGCTTAGGACGTGGAGTGGGAGGTGGTAGTGGTTGGAGGAACAGAATGGAACAGGGCTAAAAGATAGAAATTTGGCAATGATATGCAGGACTTTTGCCTTAGTAGGGCTACTGAAGTTTCCTTTACCAGATGGTAAAGGAAAAAGGTAGTACCTTTTTTTGGTGATGGTGAAAATTAAGATATATAGATACCATAAAACCTACATTTAAGCTATTTACAATATTGGATTCAGTGGCATTAAGTGTGTTTGTAGTTTTGTGCAGTGTAAGCATCACCACTAATAAGTTCTAGTTCCTAGCAATCAATAATCTGCTTTTTGTCTTTGTGAATTTGCATGGCCTGGATATTTCTAACTGTTCTTACACATCTTTTAAATTTTTTTGTCAACTAGCTGGTAATGAATCTTGCCCTCAGCCACAGACTTCGGAACATCTGGCAGCCATAGAAATCATGAAGCTGAAGCATATTTTGATCTTACAGAATAAAATTGATTTGGTGAAAGAAAGTCAGGCTAAAGAACAGTATGAACAGATTCTTGCATTTGTACAAGGTAAAACGCCATAATAACCAATCACTAATATCTACCCTGAAACACTTCAAGAGGTATTTGTTCCAGATATATAGTATTCTATCCAAAGCAAAGTAAACTGGGATGTCTGAAGCCTTACTTCTCTACCAACTACTTGTAAGCAGCCTGCTACAACTAGTGAGATGTGTTTCTGGATTTTATACATTGAAACATATTTTCCTCCTTTTGTAGTACTAAGGAATGAACTTGACTTTGTACTTGTCAGGCAAGCGCTTCAGTTCAACTTACCAATAAGATTAAAAATCCTCAGGGTGGAGCATAGCTCAGTTGTACAGTGCTTGCCTAGCACGTATGGAGTCCTGAGTTCAATCCTCAGCACAAACCACCTACCTTGGAAAGGAAAAGCAAAAAACCTCAGTGATAGTAAAATGAGCTGAAAAAAATTTTTTTAATCTTGATAATGTCACTTCTATTATTTTTCATTTTAGAAAGACAAGATCATATTGTTGACTTATGATTCTCTTCGCTTTGTTTTGCTTCTTAGAAAGGTTAAGTTCCTCTGAACCCAGTTCTCTCATGTGGTAGAGAATAAGTCATTTTGATTAAAATCTAATTATGTTTGGTCTATTTCTTTGACTATCCTGTGTGACATGTAATTAATAAGGAACAAATATTATGTGTGCTAGCAGTCTTTGATGAGCAAAGAGTCTATAATTTTATCTTGGACATTTATTAGGAGCTTAATTACATGTTAGAAATCTTTTTAACTAGTAAAGCGCTTGTTCCCAAGAATGTTAGTGTTTTATATCTTTAATCAAGTTTATTGTTTTTGCTACATTAAGTATGCCAATATAATTTGAACGTTTTTTCCCCTTAAAAGGAATAAAATTCATTTTCTGGAGTTAAAACAGAGGTGGAGAGTTGTCTTCATTCTAAATAGAAAAATCACTTTGTACTTTTTGCTGGCATTTGTGTGGGATGTTAGGCCTCCTCTTTTTTTTGTAATTTTAATTTTATGTAATGTAGAACAAGTTGTACAAATCTGAATTCTGATGTCTCTGAATTTTGTCATGTAGGCACTGTGGCAGAAGGCGCTCCTATTATTCCCATTTCTGCTCAGCTGAAATACAATATTGAAGTTGTCTGTGAGTACATAGTAAAGAAAATACCAGTACCCCCAAGAGACTTTACTTCAGAACCCCGACTTATTGGTAAGTGATTGAAGTTGATGTTTTGCTAGTCTTTTCTACATTGGTGATTCTCCTTTAAGGGTATTTATTAGTATCTTTTTCTGTAGAAGTGATAAATGGATAAGTTTTTCAGACTTGATTCACTCTGAGATTGTATTGCTAGACGAGAGACAAGTCTTGAATGAAGTGGAAACCTAATCATTGTGTGCTCATTTACTTTACACCTGTGTGAGCAATATGTTATAATAGTGTTCTGTATGGAATTATAACATTTTAGGATGTTGAAAGATTTCCATGTAAATGATGTCACTGTACTGTCTAGGAAGGCTCAGCACTGCATTTTTGTTTTTCTTTTGAGTCTTGGAAATTGAATCCTGGGCCCCCTACTTTTTGTCACTTGAACCATACAGTCCTTGTGTTTATGTTTTTATTTTAGAACAGTACCTTCGCCAGTGGGCCACTGGTACACTCCTACCCTCCTATATTTATTTGTTGTTGTTGTTTTGTGCTCGTCTTGAACTCAGGGCCTGGATGCTTTCCTTGAACTTTTGTGCTCAAGGCTAGCACTCTACCATTTGAACCACAGCTCACTTCTGGCTTTGTAGGGGTGTTTAATTAGAAGGAAGACTATCATGGATTTTCCTGCCTGGGCTGGCTTTGAGCCATTATCTTCAGATCTCAGCCTCCTGAGTAGCTAGGATTATAAGTGTGAGCCACCAGCACTTGCCATGAATAATAATAACAATATAATTATTATTATGCCAGTCCTAAGGCTTGACTCAAGGCCTGTACATTGTCCTGAGCTGCTTTTGCACTCTACCACTTGAGCCACGGTGCCTCTTAAGGCTTTTTCTGTGTATGTGGTACTGAGGAATCGAACCCAGGACTTAATCCATGCTAGGCAAGCAATCTACCACTAAGCCACATTCCCGTCCCCATGAATTATTTTTATTTTTATAACTGCATTTTTTTCCCCTTAACAGTATATTATATACTAAGGTCATTCTTCCAGGTGATTCTATTTTTTAACACCTACATGACAGTGTGGATAATCCACAGTGTAGCAATGCCATAATATGCCATCTGTTAATGAACTTACTTATAAGTTGTTTCCATTTTTCCCCGTTATATTTATGTAAGACTATAATGAATATTACAGTAATACTCGATTATTTTAAAAAGTCAACTCAGAAAAGAATATTTCTTAAGTTAAAATTAACAGAAGTGGTTTTGTTTTATTTTCTTTTAGTTATTAGATCATTTGATGTCAACAAGCCTGGCTGTGAAGTTGATGATCTTAAGGGAGGTGTTGCTGGTGGTAGTATTCTAAAAGGAGTATTAAAGGTAAGTTGAGTTTCTGTCAGGATTTTGGTTTTAGTTTTGTTCTTGTTTTGATTGGGAGTTGGGTTGGAGCACTATGGATAGTCTAATAAGGATTTTTTCACTGTCTGGTATTCAATATAGATTTATTTGCTTTTATGCCTTTGGAATGTCTACCCTTTAAATCTCATAGAATATGTAGGCTTGTCTACCTGGTAAGGTAGTTAGCAAATATTGAGTGACTCTCATTTCAAGGTTTGTTTTTTAAACAATTGATTTCTTATTATTTAATATAGTGATCTTTTTACTTTTTTTTTAAATTGTTAATAAGTTTTTTTATTGTGAAAATACCGTACAGAGGGGTTACAATTACATGAGACTTTTTTTTAAATCAGTCCTGGGGCTTGAGCTCAAGGCCTGGGTACTGTCCCTGAGCTTCTTTTGCTCAAGGCTAACTAACACTCTACCACTTGAGCCAAGCACCACTTCGGACTTTTTCTGTTTATATGGTACTGAGGAATCGAACCCAGGGCTTCATGCACGCTAGGCAAGCACTCTGCCACTTACCACTAAGATAGATTCCCAGCTATCTTTTTTTTAATAGAGGAAGGAGTACTTTTTCAGTTTTGTGGTCCTCCTGGTGGAATTCTTCATAGGTAAAAGATAATTGGGTTGTTTTATAGTAATTCTCATTACCAATTATTTGTTTACAGGTGGGCCAGGAGATAGAAGTGAGACCTGGTATTGTTTCCAAAGATAGTGAAGGAAAACTCATGTGTAAACCCATCTTTTCCAAAATTGTATCACTTTTTGCAGAACATAATGATCTTCAGTATGCCGCCCCAGGGGGTCTTATAGGTAAGGATTTCCTTCTTAACGATTTTAGTTTAAAGATATTTGTGGTACTTTCTTTTTTTTTTTTTTTTTTTTTTTGGGTCCGGTCGTGGGGCCTGAACTCTGGGCCTGGGTGCTGTCCCTCAGCTCTTCAGCTCAAGGCTAGCACTCTACCACTTGAGCCACAGCGCCACTTCCGGCTTTTTTCTTTTTGCTTATGTGGTGCTGGGGAATCGAACCCAGGGCCTCATGCATGCAAGGCAAGCCTCTACCACTGAGCCACCTTTCCAGCCCACATCCAAGGCTTTTTTCAGATTTTGAATTCATATTTATTGATTAAATGGAATAGGAGGACATTTGGATTTTAAGCTGTTGATTGTAATTTCTAAGTTAGTTTCATGTGTTTGGGAAAACATTTTTTTTTTTTTGGTCGGTTGTGGGGCTTGAATTCTGGGCCGGGCACTGTCCCTGAGCTCTTCAGCTCAAGGTCAGGCTCTAACATTTGAGCCACAGCACCACTTCCCGTTTTCTGGTGGCTAATAAGAGATAAGAGTCTTATGGACTTCAGGACTTTGCTGCCTGGGCTGGCTTTGAACCTTGAACCTCAGATCTCAGCCTCTTGAGTAGCTAGGATTATAGGCGTGAGCCACCAGCTGAAAAATCATTTATAAACATAAAGAATAGATTTTGGTTAAGAATTCCTGTTTTTTCCCTGGTCCTGAGGCTTGACCTCAGGTCTGGGTGCTGTTCCTGAGCCTCTTTTTTTGGGTCCGGGTCGTGGGGCCTGAACTCTGGGCCCGGGCACTGCCCCTCAGCTCTTCAGCTCAAGGCTAGCGCTCTACCACTTGCCACAGTGCCACTTCCAGCTTTCTTTTTTTCTTTTTGCTTATGTGGTGCTGAGGAATTGAACCCAGGGCCTCATGCATGCAAGGCAAGCGCTCTACCACTGAGCCACCTTCCCAGCCCCATCGTGGGCCTCTTTGTGCTCAAGGCTAGCCCCAGTGCTACTTCCAGCTTTTTCTGAGTAGTTTATTGGAGATGAGTCTCATGGACTTTCCTGTCGTGGCTGTCTTCGATCTGTGATCCACAGATCTCAGTCTCCTGAGTAGCTATGATTATAGGCATGAGCCGCCTGGGTGCAGCTAGAACCTCCTTTTTAGTAATAACAAAATAAGTTTTATGGCCTAAAATTTAAAATATAACACACACATATACACATACACATACATACTAGTTTTCTTGTTTTGAGACAGAGTCTCGCTAATGCTTAGACTAGCCTTCAACTACACAGCTCAAGCTGTCTTCCCACATCAGTTACCCAAGTAGTTTGTTTTTTTTTTTTGGTCTGAGACTGGTAGTCAACTTGGTATCTGATACTTTATCTCATTATTAGCTAATTGGCTAGCACCCTACCAAATGAGCCATGCCTCCAATCCATTGAATTATTCTAATTTTATTTTTGAATTAGTGCATATGAGTTAAATGAGGAAGTTTTGTTTTGATAATTCCATAAATTTGTACTTGGAACAAGTTGACTTCTCCTTTATATACTCATAGTGTCTTTTCCCCACTTTTGATGGGTTTCATTATGTGTGTGTGTAAGTAAGTAAAATGTACTTTGGTCCTCTTTGACTTTCAGTATCCTTTCCTTTCCCCCTCCTGCTGATTTCCCCCAGATAGTTTATCTTTTTCATTCATATCCCATGATGATTATCATCATTTTAACGTTTTTTCTTTTTAAGTCTATAGGTTTTAGGCTAGAGAATAGGAACTTTCTCTTTCTTCCTTCGCCTCAACTCTCTTCCTTTCCCCTTTTACTCCCTCCCTTCCTTCCTTTTTTGGTTTTTTTATTTTTTGACATGGGGGGATCTAACATTATAGGCTTTTGGCTAGATATTTAATTTTTCCTTTCTGTGCTATAAGAAAGATTTGTTATAAACAAATTTATCGTCATATATACAGTGGGAGGGAGGCTAATACTAGGGCTTGAACTTAGGACCTTATACTCTTACTCAGATTTCTTGCTCAAAGCATTTTTGCTCAGAACTCAGTCTCCTGAAATTATAGGCATGGGCCACTGGCACCCAATTTATCTTTTTATTTGAAAGGAAATTCTGGAAATACTTAGAGTTTAACTTCAGACTTAACATCAGAAAATAGACTTCCAACATCAGAAAATAGACTTCCGTTAAAAACCTCCCTATAATCCTTACTGAGCCCTTAATCTTGTTCCATCTGTATGTTTTCTTTCCCAACCACTCAAGGCACAGCTAATATATTTTAAAAGTAGATCCAGACTTTAAGCTTGGTTGCCTGCCTACCTATCCTCCCTCCATCCTTCCTCTCCCTTCTCTTTCTTTAGAGAGGCCCTTGACGTGTACCACGGGATACAGGTAGCACCCTTGAGCAGCCTTAAGTATTAGATCCTTCCCACCAGAGGTCTAGGATTATAGGCACATCCACATTGAGCTAATCTAAAAGTAAATAGCATGCAAATATTGTACATGCTACACACAGTGAATTTTATATCTTTTCGCCCTTCATTAGAGATATTTAGACTCATTTTGAATTATTATTACTGATATTTGCTTTTGTTTAGAATATAAATCAAGAGAATCTTTATATTCTCAGTTGTCTTAGGAACCTATGAATTTACAATTTTGTTTCTCCAGATTAAACAAGTTATGTCTATATATCTACAGAAGTAGGTATTAAAGTGTATAGGAAGATTCATACTGTGCTTACTTGACTAGACTTTTGAAGAAATAATTATCTTTATAAGTGTTTTAGAAAATAAAAGTTGGGTTGTGTACATTTTCTTTTTCATTAGGAGTTGGAACAAAGATCGATCCCACTTTGTGCCGAGCTGACAGAATGGTGGGGCAGGTTCTTGGTGCAGTTGGGGCTTTACCTGAGATATTCACAGAATTGGAAATATCCTATTTCCTACTTAGACGGCTCCTAGGTGTCCGTACTGAAGGAGATAAGAAAGCAGCAAAAGTAAGTGTTTTTTATAATCCTGTTTCAGAAAAAGTAACAGACAGTTATGTGAATCCAGTTTTGAGTTCTATTCTGTGCCCAACATGGAATTAAAATAAATCAGTTTGATTTTTTTCTTTGCCAGTCCTGGGGCTTAAACTCAGGGCCTGGGCACCGTCTCTGAGCTTCTTTTGCTCAAGGCTAGCACTCCACAACTTTAGCCACAATGCCACTTCCAGCATTTCTCATTTTATGTTGTACTGAAGAATCGAACCCAGGGCTTCATGCATGCTAGGCAAGCACTCTACCAGTAAATTACATTCCCAGCTCCTTTTTTAAAATTAATCTTTTACTAATACTATGTTGGCAGAGATGGGGAAATAGTTGACACTTAATGTTGATATTTTAAATTTTTTTAGGTGTGCCTAAACCCTGCCCTGGTACTTTTCTCTAGGGCATTTAAAAAGAATAGCATAATAATTATGAGATTCAGTTCAGAGTGAAATTGTGTTACTTTGAAAACTATATACATTTAGATAGCCAGGTGCCAGTGGCTCATGCTTGTAATACTACCTACTCAGAAGGCTGAGATCTGAGGATCACAGTTTGAAGCCAACTCTGGCAGGCAAACCCATGAGACTCTCATCTCCAAACCACCAAAAAGCCTGAAGTGGAGCTGTGGCTCAAATGGTAGCTCCTTTGAGCAAAAAATTTGGGGGACAGCACCAGGCCCTGAGCTCAAGCCCAGGATGAATACAAACACACACACACACACACACACACACACACAATACTATATACTAGATAGAGTTCAAAAATAAATTAGGAGACACAAGTTATAAAAGAATTATAGAATTATCTCTTTGTTAAAACATTGAACCTTTTGAGTCTCTTGGTTAAAAACTCATGTAGTATAAGTGAAATAACATGAAAAAGTAGTTTTCATGAGAAATAACCAAAGAAATAATGTTGACTCTTTTCCACACACATATCAAACAATTTGTCGTGCTTTTTTTTTTTTCTTTTGTTGGTCATGGGGCTTGAACTTGGGGCCTGGGCACTGTCCCTGAGCTCTTTTGCTCAAAGCTAGTGCTTTACCACTTTGAACCACTGCTTTACTTGTGATTTTCTGGGTGCTAATTGGAAATAAGAGTCTCACTTACTTTGCTGCCAGAACTGGCTCTGAACTGCAATCCTAGGATCTTAGCCTCCATAGTAGCTAGCATGAGCTACTGGCAACTGGCTTGTCATGTGTTTTAGAATTCTTTATTTTTTCCTTTGATCATGGGGTTTGAACTCTGGGCCTGAGCGCTGTCCCTCAGCTCTTCAGCTCAAGGCTAACACTACCATTTGAGCCACAGTGCTATTTCTGGCTTTTTCTGCTTTTGTGGTACTGAGGAATAGAACCTAGAGCCTCGTACATGTGAGGCAGACACTCTACCACTGAGCCACCTTCCCAACCCCTAGAATTCTTTTTATACCAACTTGACTGTTTTTGTCTCATCTGACTTACCAAATAATGAAACCATTAAAACAGTGACCTGATTTGAGGCATTTGGCTAATAATTTACTTACTGTTCCTTGTACAGATGGGACCAGCCAATTAAATAGAGGCTCAGAGAGTTCTAGTAACTGGTTTAGGTACAAGAATAGAATTGGACCTCCAGAATCACCTTACTGACCCTCATAAAGCCATTTTCCTATTTTCCTACCCATACATACACAAAGGAAATTTTGTACCTTATTTCTACTGTAGGCTGAAGATCTATGTTAAAAATCTAAAATCTAAATGCTTTACAATCCAAAGGTTTTTTTTTTTAACTGACATGATGCTACCACTGAAAAATTCTATACTTGACCTCATGATGAGTCATAGTCAAATGCAACTGCACTAAATGTGGAAAATTGTAAAATTGCTTCAGGTTATTGCAATAAGGTGTACATAAAACATAAGTCAACCAGGCTCGGGTCGCTCATGCTTATAATCCTAGTTACTCAGAAGGCTGAGATTTGAGGATTATGGTTGGAAGTCAGCCTGAACAGGAAAGTTGTAAGACTTCTCTTCAATAAGCTACTTTAAAAAAGCCAGAAAGGAGAGTTGGGAAGGAGGGAGGAAGTAGGAGAAAATGAAGGAAGGGGGTAACACTGTTCAAAAGGAAATGTACTCATTACCTTATCTAAGTGTACATTATCTTTACATTAATTTTCTTTAAAAAGCTGTAAATGAAGCTGTGACTCCAGTGGTAGAATACTAACCTTGAGCAAACAAGCTCGGGGTCAGCACTCAGGCCACACACACACACACATTGTACGAGTCTGGGCGTAGTTGCTCACTATTGTAATATCAAGAGGCAGGAGGTTTAGCAGTTCCAGGCCAACCTATGCTGCATAGCAAGACTATTCATAAAGCAAAACTTAAGTGACTTCAGTGTTTATCTCCCAAGACACCACATACGTATACATAAGTATTATAAAATCCTGAGATACTTGGAATGTTTACATTTCTAAGCATTCCCAATAAAGAATACTCAACTAGTGTTTAACTTGAAGCTTTTTTTTTTGTTTTGGTGGGTTGTGAGGCTTGAACTCAGGGCCTGGGCGCTGACCCTAAGTTCTTCAGCTTAAGGCGAGTGCTATACCACTTGAGCGCCACTTCCAGTTTTCTGGTAGTTTATTGGAGATAAGAGTCTCATGGACTTTCCTGCCTGGGCTGGGCTGGCTTGAACCATGATCCTCAGATCTCAGCCTCTTGAGTAGCTAGGATTACAGGTGTGAGCCACTGGCGCCCAGCTAACTTAAATTTTTTTTTAAGAGTGGTTTCATGCAGTGGTTACTTAATTTATTTCTTCAAGGCAGGTTTTGTATGAAGTCACTGGGCCCCAAATCAAAATTCTGTTTGCTACTTTTAAACTGTAAATGGTCTTGATTTTGGGGTGTTTTTGCCCAATTTCTCTCCCTAGGTACAAAAGCTGTCGAAGAATGAAGTGCTTATGGTCAACATAGGATCCCTGTCGACAGGAGGGAGAGTTAGTGCTGTCAAGGCTGATCTGGGTAAAATCGTTTTGACTAATCCTGTGTGCACAGAAGTAGGAGAAAAAATTGCCCTTAGTCGAAGAGTTGAGAAACACTGGCGGTAAGTTGATTAGCCTTTGCCACTGTTTAGTAAAGTCAGTTTCCTTAAGTTCTTGGTATACATTCAGGTGTACATACTCTTGCTTGAACACAAGAGTCTGTATTGTTTTTACTATCTGGATCTTATTGAAAACTACATTTAAGCAGCCTTGATTTATAGTCCCAAGTACTGCAGTTGGCTTCTCACAATCTATGAAAAAACTCATTAATTGTCTTAGTGGTTTATGCCTGTAATCCTAGGTACTCAAAAGGCTAAGAGCCAAAGGATCTTAGTTTGAAGCCAGCCCAGACAGAAAAGTTTGTGAGATTTTGTCAAAATAATGAGCCAGGTGTGGCTTCAGTGGTATACCTGTTTGTGAGCATGTACGCCAAGCAAGTACAAGGCCCTGAGTTCAAACTATGATTAGCATTCATGCTCATTGCTGTAGGGTGATATTGCTTCTAGTTCCCTATAAATGACTAAAACTACGAAATACATATATTTGGGTCCTCACTCATGTTTCCTGTTAGTTACGAGTCTTCCCATTCCTTTCTATTCCTTGTAACATTGTATCTATACCACTGTCATTTCATACTTAATATATGGTGCAAAAGGCTTCTAGTTTGCCTCATCCTTTGTCACAGAAGAACTTAGTCACTATGAAAGTGTTTTAGGAATGTTTTGAATGAGCTCTTCCGTAATCAGCTGATAGGTGCAGCTGATACATGATGTGTTCCTCTAGTTCTTTTTCCTTTAACAGCTGAGGTCATGCTAATGCATTGCAATCTGTTGAGGTGTTGTGAGTAAGAGGAATGCATTTCTCAGGGAAGAAATGATAGAGAATGAGCTTTAAACAAAACTTAGTTGAAGTGGTTTGTGTTTGGGGCATAGTTCTTAGGTTGACTAGCAAGACTTTAGTGGATCTGAGGGGTAGGTATATTTTGTTAGAATGAAGGCACGTATGTTCGTGGTAAGAATTACTGTGAGCTTTCTCTCTGGAGGAGCAGACTTAGGGAACGTTTGAACTTAGAAGATGGGCAATAGCCAGGCGCTGGTGGCTCACACCTGTAATCCTAGCTACTCAGGAGGCTGAAATCTGAGGCAGGAAGTTTATTGGAGACTCTTATCTCTAATAAACCCATCAGAAAACCGGAAGTGGCACTGTGGCTCAAGAGGCACTAGCCTTGAGCTGAAAAGCTGAGGGACAGTGCCCAGACCCAGAGTTCAAGTCCCATGATAGATGGGGGGAAAAAGGGCAAGGCCTAGCTCTTTAGGAGGCTGAGATCTGAGGATCACAATTTGAAACTGTCTTCACAGACAAGTCTGTGAACCTCTTACCTCTGATTAACCACCAAAAAGCCAGAATTGGAGCTGTGGCTCAAGTAATAGAGCACTAGCCTTAAGCCAAAAAAATGCTCAGGGACAGTTTCTAGACCCTTAGTTCAAATCCCAAGATTGTACAGGCAAAAACTAAAACAAATACATGGGCAGGTAAAAACCAATTACATCACGTGATTATATGTTGATACGAATGAACTAGATGTGAAACTCATGATGTCTTTTATTTTCATTCTGCAGTTTAATTGGTTGGGGTCAGATAAGAAGAGGAGTGACAATCAAGCCAACTGTGGATGATGACTGAAGAATCCCAGCTAACTAAGTCATTTGAACAGAGTTGAAATTTGTCTTAACAATGTAGGGTATATTTTCAAAGCAATACTAGGGAATTAATTTCACAGCTCATTACCTTTGTAGGTAACTGTAAGATTTTTCTCATCATTTGGCATCAAAAATTTAATCTCTAGTACTAACAATATGGGGTATACAACAAATGTCAAAATCTCCTATTGCTGGATTGAAACTACATTTTAGCAGAACATTCCCAAGTATCTAGATCAATGCAGGTTTAAAAAAATTTTGCCACCAGCCTTCATTGTAGCTCATATACCAATGAACTTGTCTGAGCTAAACAATTTTTCTTTCTTTTTCATGCTTCTTGAGTAGCTCCAGGCTGAAGGACTGTTGTACCAGTAAAAGCTGGAAGATAAATTCTCAAAGACCAGCTTCCCTTTGGCCCATTACTTTATATTGTTTTTTCTTTGAAATTTTAAGTGAAAAGAAAATGAGTAGGGTCGATTGAAATTGACCATTAGAGTCTGAGTACCGGACTCCATAGACAAACGTTCTCCCTTAACTCTTTTCCTGGAACGAAATGGAGGAAATCAGAGCCAGAAGTTCTTAACTTCTTCCATTGCCATGAGGTTATTCCTTCCTTGCTTACCTGTAATCTGACAGTCTTCCTCTGTTGGCAAATAGTATATGCAGAGGTGAGGAACAGCAGGCCATACAAAACCCTTGAAATCATGAATTCATTTGGTAGGGGATGGGACACGTACATGAGCTTTTTGTATGCTTTGTGATGGCTGCCGGAGGCCCTGTACCTGAATTGATCATTTTGTATGGCCCTCAATGATAGAAATATCCAAATGCCCTTGGCAGTAAAAACTTCTCCCACCTCTGTATTAAGTGATACTAGATAACTAGTAAAGAGCCTTTTAGGCTGTATTTTCTGTTTTGTTTTGGGGAGCTGGGAATTGAGCTCAGGGCCCCCCTGTGCTATGCATATACGCTACCACTGAGCTACCCCTTGGCCTGTTTTTCTTAGCTGTTTCATTGATCATGTTATGACATAGATTCTAATAGTATTTTTGGGGCCTAGCAAGAGGTAGAAATTATTTGAAAACAAATAATGAGTCTGATTTTTTTAACCTATCCTCTATGTCCCTCCCTCTACTTTTCCTGGGCTGTTCTTTTTTATACTTTTTATTTATGTCTTTGCTTTATGAAATGATTTTGTGTTTAAAGCTCAAGGGCAGCACCCAAACCCAGAGTTCAAGCCCTAGTACCAGAACCAAAAAAATAAAACATTTTGTGGGAGGTCTGATTCCCATCTTTAGTTGACAGAATTGCTGAGGAAGGTTTTAAAAAAAAATCCCAAGGATTGAGAATGTGGCTTAGTGGTAGAGTGCTTGTCTAGCATGCTCTAAGCCCTGGGTTTGATTCCTCAGTACCACATAAACAGAAAAGGCCAGGCGTGGCACTGTGGCTCAAGTGGTAGAGTGCTAGCCTTGAGCACAGAGAGGCTCAGGGACAGTGCCCAGGCCCTGAGTTCAAGCTCCAGGACCAGGGCTCCCCCCAAAATAATCCCTAGAAATTCTGATCTAATTGACTTGGGGCAGGGCCTAGATGCTAATTTTTTTTTTTTTTTTTTTGGTCAGTTGTGAGGCTTGAACTCAGGGCTTGGACTCTGTCCCTGAACTTCCTTTTGCTCAAGGCTGGCCTTCTACCACTTGAGCCACAATGCCACTTCGGTTTTGAGTGGTTAATTGGAGACAAGAGTCTCATGGGAACTTTCCTGCCTGGGTTGGCTTCAAACCATGATCCTCAGATCTCAGCCTCCTGAGTAGTTAGGATTACAGGCGTGAGCCACCTAACCCCTGGCTTAGATGCTATATTTTGTTTTTAAACTAATCTTGCCTGGGCACAGGTTGCTCATACCTGTAATCCTAGATACTCAGGAGTCTGAGGTCTAGAAAATTGAGGTTCAAAGCCAGTCTGGACAGGGAAGTCTTTGAGACTCATCTCCCAAATAACCAGCAAAAAGCATAGATCAAGTGGTAAAGTACCAGCCAAGTAATCAGGTGGCCCTGAGTTTTAACCCAGGTATCAGAGAAACCAACCTTCCCAGTGCTTGGGAACAAATTTAGAGTTAAGAAGTAGACATACTAAATAATAGTATCCGAATAAATTTTGGTATTCTGGTAATATTTTGTTTTCTTAAATTTGCATTGAGACAGGATTTCATTCCAGTTAGGATAAGGTGTTCTTCTCGATATTGAAGCCGCCTTGTTGAAGTTTAGAAGCTGTGGTTGTGGGTTGTCATTTAAATTGATAAGTTTTGAGAAAGCATTTTAATGTTATGTATTTGATTGATTTTAAAGGGTTGCATTGTAGCATGAAGAACACATTTAAATAAAATGAAATTCTAAATCAAACATTAAATCTGAAATGTCCCCCTGTGTTTTATAAGTACCTTCAACCCAGAATTCTGGGATACAACTCAAAATAGTGACTTACCTTATTGCAGTTAATTTCTTGTCAGCCAAATCAGAACTATCTTATAATTAATGTCATACATCCACATGAATTTCAGCCACTGATAAAGGTACATTGCAGGGCTGGGAAGTTGGCTCAGTGGTAGAGCGCTTGCCTTGCATGCATGAGGCCCTGGGTTTGATTCCTCAGCACCACATAAGCAGAAAAAAGCTGGAAGTGGTGAAGTGCTAGGCTTGAGCCGAAGAGCTGAGGGACAGCGTTCAGGCCCAGAGTTCAAGCCCCATGACAGATAGATAGGTAGGTAGATAGATAGGTAGGTAGGTAGGTAGGTAGATAGATAGAGCTGAGTACCTGTGGCTTACACCTATAATCATAGCTACTTGGGAGGCTATGATCTGAGGATTGAGGTTCAAAGCCATCCTGGGCAGAAAGGTCCATCAGACTCATCTATTAACCACCAGAAAACTGGAAGTAGACCTCTGGTCAAAGTGGTAGAGCATTAGCCTTGAATGAAAAAGCTTAGATACAGCATCTAACCCAAGTTCAAGTCTCATGACTGACCAAAAATTAAAAATAGCCCAGGTTAATGTAGAGGGAAACTATGAACTTGTGTGTCCTAAGCAAATAATTGTCAAAATCATTTACAGTGAAATGGTGTGGAGTGCAGCTCAGTGTTATACCCTGCCCTGACCTTGCCTAGAATGATACACACACACGAAAACAGTCACTGGTGGTGCACATCTGTAATCTTAGCTATTTGGGAGGTTGAGATCAGGAGGACTCTGGGCCAAGGCTACCCTAACCATACAAATATACAAATGTGATCCCATCTTAACCAATGACTGCACCAGTTATCCTAGCTATGTGGACGGCTGATATTGGAAGGATCATGGTTCCAGGCTGCCAGTGCAGAAAAGAAAGATTCCATCTCAATGGAAGAAGCTAGACATGGTGATGCTCACCTGTTATCCTGGCTACAGTGGGAGTCAAAACGAGAATCGCAGGTGTGAGCCAGATGTGACACTATTTCAGACATAATCAGTGCAAAAGAAAAATGTCGCTTGGCAGTGGAGTGCCTGCGTGAGCAGGAAACAAGTTCAAACCAGTATCATCAGGAAACAACAATTATTCATTGAGGGCTGGGAGTGTGGCTCAGTGGTAGAGTGCTTGCCTCGCATGCATGAAGCCCTGGGTTCTATTCCTCAGTACCAAATACACAGAAAAAGCCGGAAGTGGTGCTGTGGCTCAAGTGGTAGAGTGCTAGCCTTGAGCAAAAGAAGCTCAGGGACGGGCTGGGAAGGTGGCTCAGTGGTAGAGTGCTTGCCTCACATGGATGAGGCCCTGGGTTTGATTCCTCAGCACCACATACACAGAAAAAGCCAGAAGTGGTGCTGTGCCTCGAGTAGTAGAGCGCTAGCCTTGAGCTGAAGAGCTGAGAGACAGCGCCCAGGCCCAGAGTTCAAGCCCCATGTCCAACAAAAAGTAGATTATTAAAAAAAAAACAACTCAGGGACAGTGTCCAGGCCCAGAGTGCAAGCCCCAGGACTGGCAAAAAAAAAAAAAATCTTTGAAACACAAGTATCCCACAGCCACTGGGTGTAGAAATTTTTAACATTTTGTAGAAGTGAAAGCTGAGCATGGTACCTCACACCTGTAATCTCAGCATTCAAGAGAGAGAAGCAGAATGATCAGTAGTTTGAGGCCAGTGTACATAGTGATATCCTGTCTCCAAAGCCCAAAATGGTGAGGGGCTGAGGAGAGGGGTGATGGCTAAAGTAGGAACCAACAAACCTAAGGCCCCAAGTTCAGATTCCAGTATTGCCACAACACAAAACATACACCCCACAATATAAGCGTAATTGATTTAGGGATAGATTATTGAGACAAACTACAACCACATAAAAACCAATAACAATATTTATATAAATAAAGGTTTTGCCTTTCACTACCAAGTATTGAACTCTGGGCCTTTTGCATGCTGAGTAAGCTGCTACCAATGAGCTACATCGTAGCTGTCAGCAATTGTTGAGTGTTACACCAGCCTCGGTTCCCAGGATAAATGCCACCTAGGTCAAGACTTGTGGAGAATATATGAAGAACTTCTTCGACTCCAAAATGAAACAAACCAATTTTTGTTTTGTTTTGTTTTCCACTCATGGAGCCTGAACTCTGGTCTTGGGCGCTGTCCCTCGGCTCTTCAGCTCAAGGCTAGCACTCTGCCACTTGAGACACAGTGCCACTTCTGGCTTTTTTGCTTATGTGGTGCTGAGGAATCAAACCCAGGGCCTCATGTATGCAAGGCAAGCACTTTACCACTGAGCCACCTTCCCAGCCCCTGATTCATTTTTTTTGTGAAAATATCGTACAGAGGGGTTACAATTACATGAGCAAGGTAATGAGTACATTTCTTATCAAGCATTGTTGCCTCCTCCTTTGTTTCCCCTTCCCATCCCTTCCCATCTCCCCTCCTCCCCACCCTGAGCTTCTTTTGCCCAAAGCTAGCACTCTACCACTTGAACCACAGCACCACCTCTGGCTTTTGCTGTTTATGTGGTACTGAGGAATTGAATCCAGGGCTTCATGCATGCTAGGCAAACACCACTAAGCCACATTCCCAGCGTCCCTTCTTACTTTTATATCGGAATTTAAACTCAGAACCTAGTGCCTGCTAAGCAAACACTGTACCACTTGAGCCATACCTCCATCCTTTTTGCTTTAATTACT